TTGGAAAAGAAAGCAAAAAAGATTTTTTTTCTACTCTAGCGACATTTCAGGGTTTGGCTCCCCCCCCCCCAGATACCCCCAGGCCGGGAGTGCTGGCTGGGGAATTCTGGGAGTGGAAGTCCACACGTCTGAAAGTTGCCAAGGTTGAGAAACACTGTCTTATTGCCTTCTGTTCCGAAAGCCTAGGAATCTCCTCTAAGAACATAATATGTTCTCTTCTTGTTTAAAATCATTGTCAAATTTGCTTTGTTTATTTTTTCCCTCTTTTTCCTTTTTTTTAAAACTGTATAATTTTTATTAAGTATTTTGAAACAAAGATAAAAACTAACAAGAACTAATAAAAAGGAAAGGAAAGAAAGGAAGGGAAAAACTACTTCCATGTAAGCATCATCAATGTGTCTGTCGGCTTTCCCCATTTGGTGCCCTTTCAGGTGTACCGGACTGTACCTCCCATCACTCCTAGATTCTGTTTTACTGTACGAAAGTATGGTACAGACAGTCCTCTACTTACAATCTTTCGAGTGACGAACTTTCACCAATACGAACAAACTTCCAACAATGAAGGTCCCCAAAGGAAGGTCTGGGAAATTTATGGTGCACTCGCGTACATACGCCCGGAAGTGTACGGTAGGCCATATACGTACACCTGGAAGTTTACAGCATGCATGCATACCTATGTGGTGTATTGTAAACTTCCGGGCATACGTATGTGACCTACCGTGATTGGACTTACGAACAAAATGGACAGAAAACAAAATAGCCTCTTGGAACGTAATCTGTTCGTAAGTAGAGGACTGTCTGTATTCGTGTTATAATTATCCCAACGGATGCTTCAATACATGACGCTTTCTGCTTCCCTCCCCCTGCACAAAATTTTTTGTTTCTTTAATAGCCATTCGCCTCCAAGGCTTGAGGTGAATGGCACCATTTTAAAACTTATGTTCAATTGGTCCTTTACAACCCCTTCTTCTTCTTTTTTTTTTTTTGCTCTGAACAGATCATCTTCATTCATCCCTTTTCTTAGCACCTTCTGAAGATGTTCCTTGTCAAAAACTTCCTCGGAGGTGGTGGA